ACACTCGATTTGACCGCACAGAGTGAAGCGATGTCAGTCAAAAAATCCTTGTCTCATTGTGCTTGCCTTGACCATGTAATGGCACGACCGCCATGTGCCACCATGTTTGACCAGTGCGATGCTCGCCTGGTCGTCTGCGCAGATCCTGAGCTTCGATGTTGTGCCGAACTCCTGCAAGTAGTCCCCCTGCCGTCGTCGCTTGAAGCTCCGCCTCCGCCGTGCTCCGGGCAATCATCTGCTGTTTGGACGCCCTCCACGAAACTGTGACCCCACCCCACAACACCACTATGCTGGAGTAGGCAGTAGTTGCTGTGGCCCGTCGGCGCGAAATTGGCGTCCGTGTAGACGGTGACGTCAGTCTCGTCCTGGAACCGTCCTATGAAGATGCCCTCGCCGCCTCAGTGCACCAGGCACCTTAAAACGTTATTCCCCGGCTTGTGCGTCTCCTTGGGATGCTTCGTGGTGAACGATGACATCCTCGATGCAGCGTGCGCGATGCCTGGCCTCGTCCAGACCGAAAGCCAGTTGAGCTCCCCAGCGACAGCCTGAGCAATCCTGATGTCGGCGAACTCCACCGTGCCTTCCGTCGTTTTGGTTTCCTCCTCACCCTAGACCCACTTTGGAACCTCCTGCGCAACGGCCTCGTCGTCCGCAATGATGTCCTCCAGAGGCCGGCCGTGCGCGCGCTTTCTTGTGGCTCCTTGAGCTATCTGATCTGCCGTCGCGGCGACCGCCGAAACCGATTTTTTTGTTCGAAAATGGTCGGTTTCTCATCGTTGAAACCCTCGACGGGGTTGGCGGTCGCCATGCCCCACTTCCGCAGCACGTCGGCGGTGTACTCGGCCTGGTTGACACTGATGCTCTTCTCAACCCCGACCACGACTGCTCCGCAGAACCTGATTGGCGCGCCGACGCTCTCCGCCAAGATGAACTCTGGCAATGACATGTTCCCGACGCCCTCCAGCGCCTCGACCCCATTGTTGACGACGTCGGTGGGGCCGACGCACGTGGCGATAGCCCCATGCAGCTTGCCACTCGCATCCATGATGACCCACACCGACTCGTCCACGTTCATGCACTGCCACGCAACCATCGGGAAGCTTCAGGGCCTTCATCTGTTTGTCGCGCTCCGTCTGCCACATCTTCGGTGCGGACCTGAGCCCGTACATTGTTCGCCGAAGCTTTCATGTTTCGTCCTTGACGTGCCCAGTAGCAACCAAGAAAGTTGGCGGCTTGACTAATATAGCAACGTCCTCTCCGATCGGCGCGTTGAGGAACGCTCTCTGCACGTCCGCTTGCGCGATCGTCAAGCCCATCCCAGCCGCCAACCGCAGGATCGCCCTGAAACCCGTGGCGTCCATTTGCGAGGTATACACGTCCAGGCCCTGGTGGTTCGCGAAATTGCCGCAAGTCACGACGCGCACCTTCCGGCGTCGGAGCTCCGTGTTGTTGTCCGTTGGTTTCGTCGCCCAGGCGATCTTGCTCGGCACCTTCGACACCCCGCTCCTCTTCTCCTCGTCTGTAGCTGGATCGTACACGCCAGTTCGAAGCCTGCATCCACTCTTCCCGCTCAGCCCCGCTGCTGCCCTTGACCTGTTGCTGCGAGACGAGCTGGAGCCTGGCCTGTCTGAAGTCATCTCTGGCCTGCTGGAGCATTTCGATGTCTGACTCATCATCCAGCACCGCTGAAGCAGTCGCTCCCCGCGCCGAGCTGGCGATGTCGTCCGCCGGTTTAAGTTCATGCCCGAGGGGCGATCTCCCCCGCCGAACCGACCTGCTTTGATCGGAAATGGAAGGTTGTTCTTCGCCCACTGGCTTCTCCTCAGCAAGCTTGCATCCTGGCCTCCGGGCGCGGGCTCCGTGCTTTCCCAAGCACGCAGGGCAAGTCCACGGGAGCTCTTCCACGTCGAAGACAAGTTGAGCTTCGGGCGCGGGCACCTCCTGGTTCAGAACGAGATCTTCTTGCCTAGCAGTATCGCTCTCCTTGCCGTTCTTCACGATGTCGCCCAGCCTCTCGCTGACGACCGAATTCGTATCCACGTAGCCGTTGTCGCACAAGACGTAAGCGGCCTCGTGAATGTATTCGTCGAAGCCCAAGAAGACCCCCCTCGACCGCGCGAGGCTTGAAATCGTCTCTCTGGGGCTCCTTCAGGCGCGCGTACACCATCGTCCCGAGCGCCGCGTACTTCACCGCGAACGGCCAAAAATGCGTGGGTAAGCTGCTCGCCACGAGCAACGCCCGCGCCGTTTGCTTGATGAGGCCTACAAGCCTGTCCGCCAATCCGTTTGCCGCCGGATCACGGCTTTCAGTGGTGGTGAAATGGATCCTGTTGTCGGCATCCCCTTTCTCCAGCTGCACGTTCATTAACTCACCTCCGCGATCAGAGTATACCCTGAGAACCACCTTCGCATTGAGCGTGGCATTCACGTGCGCCACGTCCTGTTGAAGCTTCACCAGCGTCTCCGACGCCTCCTTCGTGCGCAGCAACTTGACGTACACCTCCGCATTGCTGTGCTTCTTTTTTGTCGAGCATCTCCTCGCGCTCGACGTCATTCTGGCTGCCCTCCGTCAGCTTCAGGTCGCGGTCGACCGTCACCTCGCGCTGCGGTCGGAACAATCCCACTAAGAGGTGACGATACATTCCAACACCTTGCTCGACGCGCCCAGCCCCGCGTCCTTCGACGTGAGGGCTAGACAAATCAAGTGCCAGCACTCCTCCTGGCCCCGCCGCTGGATCGACTCGACAGTGCACCCGTCTTCGACCTAAGCTCTGCACGCAGTCCGGGCACTCGGGATTGCAGGGTACATCCCCATTCTGACGATGCTCCGCCAGACTCACCGCGCGAGCCTGGGCCTCGCACATCTGTTGGGTCTGGTCAAACGTGCGCCTGGTCACGTACGTAAGGTACTCCTCCTGTCAGGATGACTTCGAAGTCCTCAGCAATAGCCAGGCTGGTCAGAACCACACCGTCCATGTTGCATTTCATCTCCAAATTCTACGTCTTGAAATTTCTTCCCACTGGTATGATCGGCTTCACCTCGACGCAGCCTTTGATCCCCTCGACCCAGACAGTCTCGCGTTGGTAGACATCAAACCGCGGCACGAACCAACTGGCAGTCGAATTGTCGCTGGAAGTAGACCCTCCACCGATGCCCCAGGCTGCAACGTCTTTACCTCGTGAGTCGCCCCAGAATCGAGCAAGATGAGGTCCATCTCTGCCTATGTTCTAGATGCCGTCGAAATGATTGTTCCCACGCGCGCGCTGACCTCGAAGTCGCCGTCCATCAGCACTCTAGCCACGGCGGCGCGAATCCTCTCGTCCAGGTCGATGGCCGACGCGGAGTCCGATTGAAGCACTATAGAGAGCGCGTTGCAAGATGCCTTTGCAGCCAGGTCAACTAGTGGCAGCGGCTGCAGACGGCCTTCCCACCGAGGGACTTGGCGATGACGCTGGATGTTGGCTTCCAGAGGGTTCCTTCGCGTCACAGGCGACTTGGCCCTTCCTCGGCTTCTTCGGGGATTGGTAATCCTTCGAGTGGTGCTGCGTGGATCCGCACGTGAAGCAGTGGCCGGAATCCACATTCAGCTTCTCGTGCCTGAACGGGTAAGACTGTCCTCGCTTACGCCCTTTAGCCGTCATGAAGAAGCTGCAAATTTTTCTTGGCGTCACTGGCGCCGTCGCCCTTCTTGCCCCTTCCTTTATCATTGTCTTTGCCCTCGCCGACGCCCAAGGCCAGAGCTAGCGGCCTCTTTTCCCCATGCGCTTGGAAGCTCGCAGCCCCGTTGACCAGCTCGCGGGATTAGCCGAAGAAGTACTCCCAGAAGGCAAGGACTTTGTCCTCGCTGACGGAATGCGCATGTTGTTGGCATTGACAAAGGTCCCCAGCCAGAAACAAAACGCCGGGCACCTCGTCGCCCAACCGTTTGCTTCAAACCACGGTGCAAAGCAGCGGAATCGGGCCGCAGAATGTGGAGCCCGCCCGCTCTCGCCCACGACTTGCCTCCGCTGGCCCAGCAAAAGCGCAGTGCTTGGCCCGCCGATGTAGAGCCACTCCCGGAGACCGCAGGCTGTTGAGATATAGTGTGCCCGTCGCCAACGCCGCCCAGAGCGCCCTCGATGCAAGCCTCGAAGAATTTCTGGGCGGTTGTTGGAAGGATTGCAAAAAAATGCAAAAAAAAACAGGATTGCAAAAAAAAAGATTGCAAAAAAAAGTTTGTTCTGTTGTTTTTTGTTTGTTTTGCAATCCTTCGTTCAAGGGTTTTTTTCTGCAATCCAGGGTTTTTTTGTTTTGCAATCCTTCGTCTCCTTTGCAGGTAGTTGTTCCTGCAAGTAGTTGGGTACAGCCACAAGGAGCAAGGGTGTCATCTTCAGGTCCAGCTGCTTCAGATCCCCCTTGGCGTGAGCACTGATCCTCAGGGAGGTCCTCTCCGCGACCACGTCAGAACGCGCTGCGCGTACGCTTGCTCCGCGAGGTCCGCCGCGGCAGCACAGAACTCGCCGACCGCGGAGCCCACGGCGTCCAGCTCGAGGGCGACCTGCCGCTGCCAGTCCCTGAACGTCTGCGCGCGGCTCTCCTGCTTCGTGAACGCGAGCCTCGGTAGCGTCGGCCTCCTCAGGCCATCGACGGCGAGCTTTTCCATGGCCCTCTCCACCACGCGGCGCCCTCGAGGGGCCCTGCCCGAAAAAACATGCGTCGGCGGGGGCGGCAGGTACGTGGGCTGCTGATTCTGTGGCGCCACCGAAACCGACCACCTTGGACCGAAGGTCGTCGGTGTTTCCTGGTCGCCCGCCGCGATCAGTTCCATGCTCTCGCATCATCCCCGCCGCTTGTCCAGCCGCCGCCGCAAGGACGCCGGCACTGAGGGCAACGCCCTGCATCTGCCGAAGGCGCTCCTGAGCCCTCCCTCGCGGGACCTCCTGGCGGTTCGGCGTCAACCACTGGCCAGTCATGTTGAACCAGCCCACTGCGCAAGCGTTAGCGACGGAGGCCTGGGCTGTGGCAGCGCCGAACAGCGCGGCCCCGCTGCCCTCCTGGCGCCCTGGGAAGCTGGGATCCACGCGGCTGCCCAGGAGCTCCGAGAGTCGACAACGATCGGCCTCTTTCGGAGGTGGCCAGGCCTTGGCCGTGCCCTCTCGGCAGCAGACGAGGAGCAGGGACGGCTGGCAGGAGGCCGTCGCCCCCAGAGTGACCGCTGTGCATACCGTACTCACCACACATCGAGCTGCACTCCGCGTGCGTCAGCTTCCTGCAGCCCTCGCACCACACGTTGCCCACGCGGCCACTGACGCGGCACGAATAGTTAGTCCACTCGCTGATGTAATGGCCTTCGCTGCTGCACCGCCAAGACCAGTCTCCCTTGATCGTGTTGCCATGCGTTGGGCTCGTAGCCTCTGAGACTCATCTCACTGATGCCGTGACGAGTGGTGTGAGATAGCCGGAGATGTGTGTTCCTGCGTTCGGGCTCGAGCGTTCTGTTTCTGAGCCGTTGTGACTTCGGACGGAGGCCAGGCACTCTCAGGAGACGATCTACCGTCTCACACGGGGTATTGGGGGGCTACGGCGAGGGGTCCAGGGTCAGATTCTTGGGTCCCTGGCGGGTCTCGGGGGGGGGGGGGTCCCTCCTGTGGGCAGGAGGGGGGCACGGGGACCGCCTCCTCCAGGGGGGTCGCCAGCGGGGGCCCTGTGGGGCGGGTCCCGCATGTGGTGGCGGGGGGGGGCCCAGGTCAGAATGCCGCCCACCCCTCGGGGTCCCGGCGGGGGCGCCAGCGGGGGTTCCCGGGGGAGGTCCCCCCTTCAGGGTCGGCGTCGCTGGCCAGGAGGCCTTCACCCAGCAGCTTCACGGGTGGAGGGCGGCGGGCTTTTGAAAGGTAGTCCTCGCATGAGCGTTGCGCGCCTCCGTCTCACAAGCTTGAAGCTGGGAGGGCGGACATGCGTTCAGAGCGAAGCGCTCACACCAGCGCCGCGCACAGTCATTCTAAAAGCGTCCAGCAGCTACACGGACGGAGGAGAGGTTCTTCTCACAAAAAGGCATCGCTTGATGTTTCCTCAGCTCAGATGGGCATATATTGGAGACTGCGCAACAAGCGCATGCATGTGGTGTTAAAATTGGGGCTCTCGTGGAACTCCCTCTCGACGTTTACGACCAGAAGCGTAAACATTGGCGACGGCCACACGGCTGGAGGGCGGCTCTTTTTCAAAATGGGATGTTTGTTCAACATGTCATTAAGTATTGTTATCTTACTCCGTGGCATTTCTTCTAGTCAGAACTATCGTGGATATACGGTCAGGAATTGTTGCTTGGCGTGTCTCGCCGACAGTTCTGACCCCCCACGCTTCGGCGCGACATGCTATCCGTGTCCTGGCATCCAGGCGTCAACGTCCCGAGCTCTTCCCAGCCTCCCGACCCGCGGAGCGGAGCGACATGCAATCCGCTTGTTCGGCATAGCGTGTCGCAAGGGCCGCCGCTGAGACAGGCTAAGCAAAAGCTCTTCACCCCAGGTATTCTTCGAAAAGTGCTTCTCTCTTGAATGGCAGGCCCATTGGGAATTCCTCTTTCAAGGAGGCGCTTCCACTAGCGGCAGGGAATGACTGTGGGGACTTGTGAGGAGAGAACTTGGGACGGGAGGGTGTGTTGCAGTATCGTTTATGCACCATGGGTTTGGGCTGGCCCTCTTCCTCCTATTCCTCCTCCCTCCACCACCATCTCCCCCTCCTACTCCTTCTCCTCCTCCTCCTCCTCCTCCTCCTCCTCCTCCTCCTCCTCCTCCTCCTCCTCCTCCTCCTCCTCCTCCTCCTCCTCCTCCTCCTCCTCTCTCTGGCCCCTCCGGTCTCCTCACGCAGCTGGTGAAGCTCGCGTCGCTACGAATTTGCCGAGCTTACTTGGGCCTCGCTCCACGCCAGGCCGGGCATGTTCCAGGTAATGTGTATTCGCGACTCGAGTTTTTTTCGGCGTTGTTTTTTTCCCTCCTCATTATCCTCCTCATCTTGCTCCTCATCCTTTCCTTTCCTCCTCTCCTCCTACAGCTACGTCCGGCCCCCCTTCCATCCTCTCGCCTTCTCCTCTTCCTCCTCCTCCTCCGCGTCATTTGTTGCCCCCCGAGGTGTGGGTCCACCAGGCGATGTTCCACTGCTGGGAGGGGAGGAGGAGGAGGAGGAGGAGGAGGAGGAGGAGGAGGAGGAGCAGCAGGAGGAGGAAGAACGGGAGGGACCAGTAAAGGGTTTAGGAAGAAGAAAAAGCAGGAAGGCTTGTGAGGGGCCGAGGGCCCTTCAGGATGTTCACTTGTTTTTCTTTTCGCGCTGCGTTGATTTGTGATGCGTTATACCGCATAGCATTGGCGATGACGATCATGCTGGTGCTGATGATAATGATGATGATGATATGGCATGATATGATATGATACGATATGATATGATATGATATGGCATGATGATGATGATGGTGATGGCGGTGATGGTGATGGTGATGGTGATGATGGTGATGATGATGGTAATGATGA